AAAACATGTCGACTAGCTCATGCAGCACTTTTATAGAGCGCGAGTTTGATTGCTAAGACATTTCGCATTCTGATTCAGAGATTTGCGGAGCAAACAAAATTCAGAAGCAAGTAGCTGGTTTATCAAAATTTCCCTGGTACATAAACGACACATAAATAAAAAGCTTTCACAAACTCGAGTAATCAGAGTTTGTCACAATAAAATTAGAACAACAATGATGTATACACTGTGATCGTAAAGTGTTCCCCAAGACTTTTTCCTCAAATTGCTTCTCAGGATAGCTGTGGATTGATCTCGCAGAAAATATTTAGTGCGCCGGCGGAGAGAGACCTCTTAGTAAGCCGGAGACGTCGTTCTCAACTCAGGTTTTGGTGGACTTGATACTGCTCAAACCTTTGGAAAAACTCGCTATGAGCTTCTCAGTTACTTAATCTAAAGTGATGTTGAGCTGTACTCCAACCTCTAAGACTAGATGGATCACCGAGATGTTCTTAAATCCAATTAAAAATGTTCCCATTTGATGCGACCTAGTTCAGTGTTTGGAATTTTTGGTTAAACCAGTATCCGCTCGTCACTGTCCTAAACCAATGCATGAGTGAATATTTTAGAGCCGAATTTTTCGATGCGATTTGTAAAAGTTGGTGGACAATGGAGGTTGTGGTTCGAGTGTTGTCGACATTGGGACTTATCTGCATATGATTGCAACGATGGGTTGGGGTATAGTGTTTATTTGAGAAATCTACAATTAGTGATGGGTACATCTTGGTTGAACGAAGATACGACTGGGCGAATCACAGGCATAGAGATACCGGATCAAACAACCCGCTTATTGATAAAGAGTAAAAGTTTTATACTGGATAACCTCCGAAATCATGACCTCGACAGAAGTATTCATTTTAACAGCAGATCCATTCGTGTTTGTAACCTCAGCTTATGAATACTTCCATACTTCTGAGTGCAAGGCATTCATCCACATCAAGGAACAAAACATCATTAGGGATACATTCGAGCCTTGAAGTGAGATCCAACGCCAATATAACTGAAGGGCATCACCTCCATAACAGCACAACTTAATGCAATTTTCACTGTGACAGTTTCTGCAGCCAAAAAAAACAATACTTACTGTATAAAAAGTGTAATAAATAATGCATCTGAAATAAAAATATGCGAGCGATCCGTTTCAGTGCCATAGACATTTGCTACCTTACAAGGAGCTTTCTTTCCCATGGGCAAAGAGCGGCTCGCTCATCCAGCTTTCTTAATTCAAGGGAATCCT